ACAAGAATCTCTCGTACATTCTCGTATTATATGTATTTTGCTATCATTGCACCACATTAAAGGATGCACATCTTCTGGCTTCCATCTGACGCTTGGCTAATGTTTATTATTTTTCACTTTTAATTGCAGCTCAACGGCAAATTCTCTATATATGTATCTCTGTCTGTGTGCGTGGACAAGGAAGCTCGTGTTTGAAGGTAAGCGACTTGGCATAGCCAACGGTATCTTGGACGCCACTTGTCCAGCTGACTTTGTGTGTGTGTGTGTGTGTGTTTTTTTTCTTAATGTTTTAAACAAGTTCTCGAGTTAATTGCCCAACGCAATCATTGGCTGGCGGCTCAGTCCAACAATTTGTGCAATCACCATGTGAAAATAGCTATATTTCACAATAAATATGAAATGTATAAGAAACAAAGAGAGAGAAAAAAACCCCAACGTTGTCAGCATGACTAAGAATTGCCAACGCATTTGCTAACCAGCCAGACTTATAGGCAATATTTGGTATTTAACCAAATTGCGTAAATTGCAGAGCTCGGCTAAATGACAGTTTTTTTAGCATTTGTTGTTGTTGTTGTTGTTTTCTTTGTGCTTGCGGTGGAGAAAGGGGGCGGAGCTGTGAACGGGCTGAATCGTTGAAATTGACTCAATTCGTGTGGTGAACTTTGAAGCCCGCTTTGAATACCGGTTAATGGAAAGTTACATCAACCGGTCGGTTCGCTAATCGTTCTGGCCAACAAAACGTCTCTTTTGTCTTTCACTTCGAATTGGCTAATCTATTGGCTTACGCAAGGGTTGATGAGCGTGAGTTCAATGTACTCACGCGGCGGAAATTATTCTGCCAAGCAAATATATACCTAAATAAAGCAAGTAGCAATCCCGTCGGGTATCGGCAGCGGTGCTATACTTGTTCAGAGTTTATCAAATGACTATATATATACTCTATCTATATATATAGTCGTATATATACTACTACATATACACCCATATATATATATATACTGCATTTCACAACAATAGATTTTCAATATTTAAAGATGATCTCAAGTCATTTCATCATTCAGCCAGCTGTCTGTAAACGCTTTTAGGCTTTATTCATATGTTGATAAGCCGCTTAATGTGATTCACGTTTACTCAACGCTCAATTAATAATTTATTCATACGTTAATTGTTATTCAATGTTCTAAAAATATATAAATAAACAACCTAATATGGAATTGCCAATTAGAGCATAAGCCGACAAATAGTTTGTTTTTTTTATGCATGTTTAATAATACTAATTTACATGATTTTTATAGCCGACAAAGAACACAGCTAGCTAGCTTATATACATATAGTTAGCACCTATCACGCAATTTAATATTTATCATAAGATTTTTAATATGTTTTTATGCTTTTTAGATAAAGATGAAATGAAGTAGAAAACTTGATTTTAGTGTGATTTAATGTGTAAGAACTTTTAATTTTAAATATTTTTCTATTACAAATAATATAAGAATTTGGATATTATCCTTTTAAAACCTGGTGGTAAGATTTAAATCTCAAGATCTGTCAAGTGAAATACATATATATATCATTTGTTAACTAATATCCTATCTACACACGCTCAAGCCAACCAAAACTAATAATAAATGCAATATATAATTCTCTATCATAACAGTTAATTCTCTGACCATCTCATATCTCTAGCACTTCCCTCTGCTAAGATAGCCCAAATTTTTAGCCCTCTAACATGGTAAATTTCTGACCGGTCAGCTCTAATATAATTTGCAGTTACGTGATTCTCTTTCTGCTCTTCAATCTATTGTTATTGTTGTTGTGGTTGCTTGCCTTCATCAAGTTTGGCATGTTTTGTAAGGTTCCCGCAATACTTTTTAATTGGATTAGAAAAAGGGTAGAACCAAACAAAATGCGCATAATACCCGTTGCTATTTTTGCAACGTTCTTGCTGTGCTTTAATTTAATTAAAAGGTCAACGTACCTCAATGCCGCTTCTTACAGAAAAAAATCAACGTTTTTTCATCAGCCACTGAAACTACACAAAAATCTGTAAAAATAATAGAAAAAGGGCACGTCAAAGATAAAATACTCTTGTATGATATATGAGTTGGAAGTGAGTGCTTGGGAAATGGTTTCGTCTTTGAGATAATTGATATATTATTGGTATATTAACTAAATAATATAATACAGGAATTTGTTGATAATTCGCTATTTGAATGCAGTAGGAGATTTGTATGGATCGTGATATTAATTTAAATACACTAGATAGAAAGGGTTTTAACTGATTAAATATGTAAAATAAAATATATATAACAAGACCATGCTGACGATATCAGATTTCCATATACAACAAAATAAAATAATAAAATAAAAAGATTTTTTTATCTTCTAGATATTATTAGGCTTCGATACAAAGGAAACTTATATCTATATTTCGAATCTAGAATCACTTCATATTCGATTACAAGTTTATAATACCCTCAGGAAGTGTATAGAAGATTCTTTTCTGTTTCACATTCTTAGCCAAGAATTTTTGGCAATTAGTTGGTCAGGAGGCGCACAGAAAAACAGTCAACAAAAAAATATATACTGTATACATATATATATAAATAAAAATAATGTTGTAGATCAAGTTTAAGTATTTAATGCCCGGCAGGCATTTCTGTCGGTTTTCTGAATTGTTGTTTGCCTGTTTTCTTTCGAGTGTTTTTTTAATTCCCAAATTTAATTTGCATGTTTGAAAATCATTAATTTGCGAGCTATTAAAAATTGCTGCCAGCGAAATTTTACGCTGTTGTTTTATTTGTTGTTGTTGTTGTTGTTGCTGCTGTGATTGTTGTTTTTTCTTAACAACAAATTAGCCGCCGTGTGCGCAACTGATTTGCATTTTGATTTTGCTTTTCCAAGCGTTTTTTGTTTGTATTTTATTTTTGTTTCGGTTTTGAAAAAGCCCGCTTAGGTTTTTGTTTAGTTTTTAGTGCAGCTAACAGCTCATAAAAATTACACTACACGAAACTGGTGAAATTTGAACGTAACGCCACAGTGCATTTAACTTTCGTTTCAATGGTTTTCCCTCGCTGAGCACAAGAAAGTTGTGCAAAGGAATGAAACAAGAGATAGAGAGCGAGAGAGAGAAACAGAGGATGAAAAGATCTTAGACAGAACCAGAAGGAAATACTAAAAGTATAAAGTGGATTACTAGAAGATTATGTTTTAGATAGCAAAAAGGTAAGAATAAGGGAATTTCTGAAAGCGGTTCCGAGTCCCAAGCGACGCTATTTCTATTCTATGTTATTTTAAAAAGAGGCATGCCTATAATAACAGGAACAATAGATCGAGTTAGTGTAGGTTAGTTTGGGTCTGTTGCCTATCGACAAGGCTAGCCCATTTGTGGCTCGTTGAGGGAACAATTGGATATATTTATTTATCTATTTTGTATTTCTTTATATTTTTTTGCAATTTTGTTATGTTTATGTATGTACAAAATAATTAGTTCCGTTATGGGCATTTTCTTTTCTCTGTTGTTCTACAGATAAATTGTTTAGTTCTTGTTTTTGCTCAAGTTTCAGCAATTTTCGGAGTATTTTTTGCGAATATCAACCATACTTGATAAGTTCATATTAGCTCTTCTTTATAAATGTATATAAAGCATTGAAAGATCAACTCCACTACAACAACTGAGCAAGTTTCAGCAATTTCTCTTTTATTTATGCTGGTCAACTCTCTCTGCTGCTTCTTTGATAACCACAACAACTATCGGTTCAAGTCTATATAAAGTATATATTTGTATATTGGGCCGATATCTTGCAGAAGTTGAGTAGCCTTGAAAGGTTTTCTAGAAGACTCTTTCTCAGGAACATGTGCTTTGCTTACTGACGTTAATTAATATTATATTAATATTTATTTTAAAGTTTAGCTCATTTAGCTTTCTTATGGTCGTTATTATTATAATGGAAACACCAGGATGAACTGATAGTCATAAAGAAACTAAATCAATTCCAGTACCTTCCATAACTTATGGACTATCAGCTCTTCCTGTTGATTCCCTCACAACTAGCTCAGTTCATATCGAGTCTATAGCAGATCCATATCAAGTAGTTGAAAGTTTTGTGAAACACTTCTATATATAAAACATAGAACAACTGTTGATATTAATCAAGTCTTCTCAATACGACATTGCACAGTATTTCCTAGGAGTCTTTTGTGTTTTATTTGTACTGCTTTGATTGCTAGCTCGACAAAGATCCTTCCCGTAACACATCGAGCGCGAAACAATGGCAACAAAATGCACGTACATATCTCTTTCTCTCTCTCTATAAGATAACCAGACTGAAGACATGCGGAAGTCTTGTTATATACATACATATGTACATATATATACATTTAGATGTGTTTCTGGCATCGTAACATTTATTGGTATCGCCGCGCGAACACGCGTCAAACTTAACTCTCTGGGCTAATCAATCATGCGGCAAACATTCACTCAAGTCTTGCGGCTTGAATGAAAGTAATTTGAATAGCGCGTTTGTCGGCGTGGGTTTTGCGCTGCGCATTGTCGTCGTCGTCGTAGTCTGCTTACGGTCTTTTGATATTTACCTGTGTGTCTCTTGACAGGTAGTTACAAACGTATTCACACTTTGCCAAACGTTCGTCAATCAGTCAATAGTTGTGTCCCGATCGATTCGTACCGCTCGCACTGCACGTGTCAAGTGTGTAAAAAATGATATGAGTGCTCTTTAAATGAAAGATCGACTTTTCTCTCTCTCTCTATCTCTGTCTCTTTCTATTGCATTTTGATGTAGTCAGTACCTTTGTCTTTAGCACACTTGAGTTTTATGAAGTTTTATGGCTTTTCCCAGACGACGAGTGCATTTCGAGCAAACTCAGCGGTCAGTCTATGACACTCTCTCTCTCTCTCTCTCTCTCTCTCTCTCTCTTTCAGAGCAATAAACCGTTATGCAAGATGATGGAAGGTCTCATTTTTTGTCTCTTTCCTTTCAGCTTTGTCACTCTACATGTTTTCTTTTATTTTTTTTTTTTATTTTTTTCGTCTCCTTCTTCTTCTTCATCTACTGTTTTCTTTTAGATTTCTTTTCATTGCGCCCCAGCAAATCAGGTCAGAACTGTCAGACCCCACTGACAATTTGTTAGCGCATTTCCATGCAGTCCGCCCCCAAAACGAGAACGAGAATAAAGATCGATGAACGTCTTGAAAAGCTGACAATTTAATTGCCATCACTGCTTGACCCATTTTCTATAGCATTTACCGTTGCATTGCATCATTTCGAGAACATTTCTGTTCGTTTTTTTTCCAGTATTTTTTTGTAGAGTTTAATTTGGATTTTTTTGGACTTATTTTTTGGTATTATAAGTCTCCCGCATGCGCGAGTTTTTTGTTTGAATTTTCTTTTGTTCGTCGTTTGTTTTTTTTTTTTCGGAATCATTAGGGTCTCAGATCGTTGACTTTGATTAGAGCTGTGCTTGCCTCATTTACATTTTGGTGGCATGTCGCACTGTGACTAGGATTTCATTCACCGAATGTAGGCAATATCAATGGCCCCTAATTAATGCCAACACATCAAAGTGTCAAACCTTGAAATTTGACTAGCAGCATAGTCAGGTACTTGGCCCTCCGGTTCCAAGTAAACACCCAAATACCTATATGAGTCTATATGCACAGAGAGACGAAGCTACAAGATCTCAGGTAGTTCAGGTCGCGCACTTTAAACTGTTATCATCTTGGTTGGATTTATTTTTCTTTTTTTTTTTTTGTTGGGTCCTTTTGTTCCGATATTTATGCAATGCCCGCTTGCGGTGCCTTTGTTGTTAGCCCCTCGCTTCCAGCACTCAAATAATTTTTGCGTTTTTCTCTGTGTCCCTCTCCCCTCCTCTCCTCAATTCCTCCTCGCTCTCGCGTGATTTATTTCAAATGGACCGAAACAAAGACAGAGATTACGTACGACCTTTAACCAAATGAAAATTTCAATGTTGCAATGGAAATCTGTATGGCAGACGCCACCCAAGGCGAACGATTTTGGCTAGAAAACTGTAGCAAGCCCAGCTAACAACCCGTGGAGCGGCTTAGACGAAGCTGTCAAGCATTGGCACGTCCCGCATCCATCCAGCATGGTGACAATAAGCCCTGGTGTCCTGGCCTTTCACTTTTCAAATGTTCGTTTCTCTTTCTTTTTTTATCAACACAGCTGGATACGAAACGGCCGTGCCCCGGTTAGCAGCAGCTTGTGTAGGTGGTCGAAGATTACAGTCGGATGAAATGAGAAAAATACCTGTATATATTTCGAAAACCTCTGCGCAGCCAGCGATTGCAACCTGCATACGTTTACCTGTTGGGCTGGCCACGTTTGCCGCGTTGAACGATCCCAGGGCAAAGCCAAATCTTAAACAAATGTTTGGACTTAGATCTCAATTCGGGTGCAGTAAGCTGTTTGGGGCGTGGCTCAGTGCACTGTTTATTTTAGCAAATCTAGGAGATTTGTGGCATTAACGAGACTTTAATATTTCAAACGGGCAACACTCGAGACTCACAGCTCTCAAATCCCAAAAATTTGATTAGACCATGAAGCATTTTGTCGTCGCCGGCGGCGGCAGCAGCAGCAGCATCAACATCGGCATTGCCAATGGGTAAGACGGATTCGAGCCTAAAAAGGCAGGCAACCCATTCGTCTTGGCCAATTAAGACAATTTGTTTAGACTCGGTCTTGGCTTGGCTCCGCTTGGCCTGGCCTGGCTTGGCTTGGCTTGGTTAGTTGGGTCGCCCGGCTTGTCAGTCAGCCGCACAATTCGAACGTTTCGAATTTCTAATAAATCTAGCAGTCGCGCTATTGAATCTGTTGCCTAGATTATTGTGGCATAAATATTGTCTAGCACACATATATGGTCAATACCAGTTAGACAAATGATTAGATGGCCCCCTCTCAAACAAAATTGAACGTTCTATGGTCATATTGTGATTTGAAAAATCCGATAATTGAGTGGCCCCGAAGTGTATAAATGCTTAAGCCAATACAGGCCAACAAATCGTATATGTTTGAATGCGTGTGTGTGTGTGTGTGTGAGTGTTTAGTTTTTGGTTATAATAAATGATCTTTACGCTGAGATAGGCCTGGAATAAAGCTTTTGCATAATTTTCGCTTTAAATGGTAACAAATGAAAATTTATTGTAAGTCAAAGACTGAAGTTGATTGTTCGATAGTTTTTGCATATTTAGATATCAACAATATTAATTGCTGCCAGCCCATTAGGCAATTTGTTAACTAAATCATTTTTGGACAAGAATTCCGAGAAGAAAGCTTTTTTGTAGGAGGA